CTCCCATTCTGTTTTTAACCATGTGTGAAGCCCACAAGTGCAGGGGAAAGCTCCCTCCTGCAGCTGATCAGCTGATCTCCTCCTCTTCCACACACACATTTCTCCTGCTGCATCAGCTTTTTGAAGCTGCTGTCCAGATGCACCGATCGACTTTTATCTTCCAACTTAAAATTCAAAGTATGTCAAATTGTAAAAATCATCATAATCACAAAATATACAAGTGTTAAAAGTTATTTTTAATTATTTTATAACTTCTTGTTTAGTTGTTTGAGTGTAATCGATGAAGAAGTACATTTCAGCTCCGTGCTGCGGAGCTGAAGCTGTGACATCCCTCTGACGTCCAGCTGAACTTCTCTTCTCTACAATTTCAAATTTAAATACTGTAACATTTTAAATAAACAATCCATGCAGCATGGATTGTTTATTTAAAATGTTACAGTATTTAAATTTTAAATTGTTTATTTCAAGAGGGAGATGGGGAGTAACAGGTGGTGAGTGTGATCACAGCCTGGCACGTCTTGACAAAGTTTATTGAACTTGAACAACTGTCTCCCTACTTCACTGTTTTTCACTTATCGTGGGTGGGCGTGGTCTCAAACACCCGCGATAAACGAGGGACTACTGTATTCCTATAAGCCAATTACATATTTTTATTCCACTTTCAAAGAGACCAAATGTGAAAACTGGATAGTTTGTAATGTCCACATCGTCTCAGTTGAGGTTCAGCCTCTCAGACCAATAAGCTGACTCTTGTCCCAAAAACCCCAAATGACCCCGAACAACCATTCACTCTCTCTCACACACCTAGGGACAATTTAGAGTTACCAATCAGCCTAACATGCATGTTTTTGGTTTGTGGGAGGAAACTGCAGTACCTGGAGGAAACCCACAAATACAAGGATAGAACATGCAAACTCCACCCAGAGAGACCCCCAGCCGGGATTTTATCCGGCAACCTTCTCACTGAGAGGCAACAGCTCTACACACTGAGCCACCGTAACTTCTGTTGTTTAATCCATTAGCTCTGAAGCTAACAACACACACACGTTCACACACACATTCTATGTAATGTTATTTGGGGAGATGTCAGTGTTTCCACACTCTTTATCTTTTTGCAGGCTTCATGAGCAGAAGCTTCTTTGTCTTGTAGAGGTGAAACTCGAACACA